GCATTTTCATCCAGGACCACTGGGGCAGCTGCTTCTTCTTTGTTTGCATGCTTGTCTGGAGCTTCCTCCTCCTTTGTTTCTGAAGAAATGATCAAGACTATTTCCTCTTGTTCCAGCTCCTGTTCAGAAGGTTCTACAGGAACAAAAACAGCAGGTTCCTCTGGGGCTGACTCCTCTGCAGCAGGTTCCCATTGACCTGCCTCTTCTGTCTCAAGTTCTGCAGGAACTAGGACAACAGATTCCTCTTCTTCTGGCATTTTAGGAAGAGCAGCAGGTTCTACTTGAGTTTTGTCATCAGGGACAATAAGTAAAGGTTCTTCTGAAACCACCACAGGAATGATAGGGATTGGTACTGCTGGAACTGGATCCTCTGGGGATTCATTTTCCATAGCAACAGCAGTTTCTTCTGCTGCATTGTCCTCTGGAATGACCACAATCAGTGATTCTGGAGCTCCATCCTCCACAGAATGCTGTTCACTCTCAACAGCAACAGCCGGGACAATGTCATCTGTTGTTTCATCTGGAGATGACTCTGCAAAGTCAGAGACAGTTTCATCCTCTGGAGATTCTTGGGGAGCTCCAGCCAAAGGCTCACCAACATCATCAGTGTCATCATCAAGAGGTTAGAGCCTCAGAAAGAGCTTAAGCTGGTTCTCCAGTGGTTTAACAGTACATCCATTTGGTATGTTCTAGTCAGACAACAAAGGAACCCTCATTTACCTAAAACATATTTGAATAAATATCTTTTACGTTTGATTAACTTAATTTATATATATATATATATATATTTCTATTCTCACATTTTTATATTCGTTTATCGTTCCTATACAATATAATATTAACTAAAGTTACCCATTAAAGCTTACTTTTGTTTTGCTAAAATGGTCCAAACGAGCTCAATTTAATACCTCGCAGTTTGGACACTTGAATTCTGAAAAGGTCTGAGGTTAAGTAAAAGTGTAGCGGTTTTCCATAAAGTAAACCCCCCAGCACACTATAGCTCTGAACGATGGCTGATTATGTTACAATTAATCTGCAGTGACCCGATACAAACGGGGTGTGTAGGGATCCAAATTTAGTTCAAATGTCTCACAGGGGAGCATGCTAACAGTAGCGAGTGAGTCATTGAACAGGCAATGAAAGTATTTCAAGAAGTTTGGTTGTTCGTCACATCTATGAATGCAGCCGAGCACGGGAGTTTTATACTTGATTTACGAGGGGGACCGAGGTCATTTTCTAAACTGAATGCGTGTTTTTTTTATTCCTCACAGCTAGAAAATATTCTGTCTTAGATTCTGTTGACTCATAGTCTACCTTTTATGCAACACCAAATATGGGTTTACCTTTTTAAACAACATATTTACATACTTCTGTAACATATTTCTGAATTAAGTTGGCACATTCAGTGTATTCTGACATTCATTTAAATTAAGAAATATTCATAAACTGTAACTACAAATATTCATAAACTGTAATTTCAGCAATTACAACTGAGAAACTATATGAATAAGAATTCAATTGACAAGTTAGATTTACTAACTTGTCTGCAATAATATGCAATATTGAGATACTATTATAGTATTAGTATTTTCAATGTATGTAGCCTGATGTATGATTTTGAAGTGCAAAATATTTGAACAGCCTATAGTATTTTATGAAGCCTACATTATTTTCCAGAGAGGTAGCTGTGCAATGATTTAAATTGATCTAGAACCTTTTAATGTCTGATAATTGTGATCATGCCAAAAGAGTTCAGAGGAAATGCATGGCTTACGTATCGGTGCTGATGAGCATAGCTGTACATTTAGTACCAGGGTCAGCAGCACCAGAGAGGAAGCTTTGAACATGATGTCCGTCCTGTTGGAGTCTTTTCAATAGACTCAAACTAATCCCAATAACTCCAACATAGCAGTCAGACCGGTGCCCCCTCTGTGAGGGAATGTCCTAGGGGGGTGAAGCATGTAAAGTGTCCGTGTGGACGCATGTTGTGAGGTGACACACCATATGGAAATACTGGGAGGGTAAAATAAGAACCATACTGAGAGATACGGTCACATGGACTTCAACAAGACTACACCAGCTGTTCCTTATCCTTAATGAAAGGCCCGACTGTTTGAATACTTCAACACACCTAAAAAGGTTGCCTATAAAAACAAGTATATGAATATATACATTGTACTCTACTGACATTCCAAACACTACATTAAGATGCATATTGCAGTTGCTTAAGAGTATTTACACAGTTTTGTGCGCGTTTATAAAGCTAATCATTTGGGCACAACCCTTATGTTATAACCCCGGCAGTGATCTTTTATTTGACTGATCTGTGTGTTACTATTTGAGTTTTTAAAGAAGTTATTCAGAGGAGTTGCTGTAATGGTGACAGATATTTAAGTGAAACGAAAGATAAGCCACCTCCATGCTCCGGTGTTGGACAACCACCACATATGCCGAGGCTGAAACATCGTCCTGCGATGTCATATTGATGGAAGTCTTCAGGAACAAAGCTCAAACAGCACATTATTCCACAGTGAAGTTACCATATTTTATTTCTTTAAGTGCCATTCATGCATATTGGGGAAGGGGGCGGGGTGGGCGGTGGTATCGACAATTCTAATAACACTTGAGTTATTTTACAGCACTAAACGAATACAAAGAGTAGCTGTGTCACCTCATTGGACAACAAAAGTAATAAACCGTGCAATAAACAAAAAGGACAAATAGGAGAAATAAAATACAAGAAATGACAAAGACGAAATCAAACAAAACAGAAAAATAAAACACAAACCAAATATATATTATCAACACTGAATCACTGAATGTAGAACCATAGTACAGGTAAAAGGTAGTGTCACACAAAAAGCAAACGCATTTTCATCACATATATACAATATAGATATATACATACTGTCACCCTCTGATTGGACAATAACAAAATACTCTATTCTTTTTGCTCCTGTCTTTTGTGAATAAGACCCACCCCCAGCCTTGATACCCCACCCCCAAGAGGAAAAAAGGGATGATTGAAAAGACATATATGTACAAGCACAACAACACACCAGCACTAAATAAAATAGGCCCCAATCAGCAGTTCTCTCCCATATCGTAACAAGGCTTTTTTTTTTTTTTTGTAAATCTTTTCATCTTTTTTTCTCCCAATGATAGTAATCTCTCTGGCAGGTACATGTCCAACGGTATTTAAAAACTTAAATTGTTTTTTTGAAAAATAACTCGCACAAGCAAACACACACACACACACACACACACACACACACACACACACACTAAAAAATTGTGATTGTGATCCAGTCATTGTCTTCACCTTTTTCCCTTTTAGTCACATCTATTTGTTTTCCCAATGGGCTGCTGTGCTCAAATAGTAGCTTGTGTGTTGACGAGCTTCACCTGGAAGAACTGAAACGCGCTTCACTTTCACACCAACCAAGGACTCACAGGACGCTCTCTGTTGCAGGTCCATTAGAGTCCTAATGAAAGCCCACTGAAGCCTTTTCACTGCTGCCTTCAGCCGCAGTCCTTTGGCCCACGCTCACCTAAAAGAGTCATGATTTGGGTCACTTAACGGACTAAGAATTCGGTCTGAGCACTAATTAAGAAATTATGGCAGTTGAACAAAACATTTAAAAAGTCATAGTTGAAATCCACAGGCGAGGAAATCCTCCACATGCAGCGGATGCTTGATATACAAAGACAGACAAAACGGAGCAGACAGAAGCGGGTGTGGATAGGTATGATTGGCAGGAAAATATAAAAAACGAACGGCAGTGTAATCAGTTGAAAGGAGAGAACTTGACTTCATCTGCACAGTGCAGCTGTGGACGGTTTATCAGAAGCACTGCAGTATAAAACTGAGCGGGGCTTTAGTTTCAAAGAACCATGTGAGACTTGAACGGGCCTTTTCTAACAATAACGAAAGACTTTATATATAATGTAATATAAAATAAAATAAAAAGAGTCCATGATTGTCATACAAATATGAATTCAAAACTACGGTGACCACTGGAGTCCATGGTTGCTAAACTATCCTAAAGGTGTAGTTTGACATATAGTGAAACACACCTCAGAGGCAGATACCACGCTCACGTCTGTACGGTTAGTGTGAAGCTACAGCCACAACACGTTTAGCTTAGCACAAAGACTGGAAACAGGAGGAAACAGTTCCAGCACCAATAAAGCTAATTCATTAACATGTCATATCTTAAGTGAGCGACTCCACCTGGCCAAGAAAGTCACAGAACCTTAACACGCTTAAGGTTATTGTACGGATAAAAATAATGAACATACAGCATGTTGATTAGTGAGCTTTAGAGGTGCTTGCAGGCAGAATTTGTCACCTTTTAATAAAGCCACGTTTCCCCGTGTCCAGGTTTTATGCTAACGGACACCTTGCTGTAGCTGCATACTCACACACAGGAGTGGTATCAATCCTCTCATCTAACTCTTGGCATGGAAGCAAATAAGCGTATTTCCCAAAATGTTAAACTATCCCTTTAAACAAGGACACAAGTGTTACAGATGCAAAGCACCATACACAGTTCAGCAGTACTGAAGAGGGGAGAAATGATTGAATAAATGAAATGAGCGAGCATGTGAGCGACCAGCTTTTGAGCGTGAGGAAGTGCTTTGCATCTTAAAAAATGGTTCAGATCAACAGAAGAGTGCAAAGGGCTTTTTTTTTTCTCCCAACAGAGCGTCTCTGAAGTTCAGCACCTGTCTGACTGAGGAGCCACTCGTTACAGGGTTCCAGAACCGCTGATCTCCCTGTTCTGTGCTTCTCAAATCTAGTCTTTGATCACTGTGTGCATCTGCTTTTTGTGCTCATAGATAGCAGAGATGAATGCAATCAATCAGAGCCCTAAAATTACAAGAAAACCAGAACACACACACACACACACACGCTCCATTTGTTCCACACACACACACACACACACACACACACACACACACACACACACAC